GTGTGTGTGAGAGAGAGAGAGAGAGGGCTGGCCAGGGCAGTGGGGTGTGTGTGTGTGTGTGTGTGTGTGTGAGAGAGAGAGAGAGAGAGAGGGCTGGCCAGGGCAGTGTGTGTGTGTGTGTGTGTGTGTGTGTGTGTGTGTGTCTCTCTGCTCCTGGCACAGGGGCAGCAGGCTGGGCCTGGGTGACATCTCCCACCTCCCTTTCCTGTGTCCCGGATGAGGGGTGGGAGTGCCCTCTTTTTATTGCATCTGGGTTCATTCGCCCCCTCGCCTGATAACATTCTGCTCTTTCTCTCCTCTTTCTCCACCCTGTGCTCTTCTCTCCCTCCCCAGCCAGGATACAAGAATTTCCATGTGTGCTGTAACCCCTTCATTTTACCAGTGGGGCCACTCAGCGAGAGGAAGGTGACATGCTCAAGTGAATGACAGAGCTGGAACTGACCGCTGTGGGCTCCTGGTTCAGAGCTCAGGGGTTGGGCAGAGTCCCTGAGTGAGAAGACCCATCCCTGGGTTATTTCTCTTGCCCTGTCGCCTTGATTTGTCACCACCGTTTGAGATGCTGATGCCTGTGAAAGAATGAACCTTCACACGCACACCCCCATTTGGCATATGGGTCCTGGGACTGGAACCCCAAACCCCCATGCTACTGCCTCCCTCCTGACCCTTCTTCCCCAGTAGCCTTGCTAGACAGCCTTTCATTGCTGAGGACAGCCTTCCAGATGCTGGCAGCTGGGCTCAGCTTTCCCGGGCTAACCTGAAGGAGGGGGTGGGCTCAGAGGGTCAGCTGCAAAATGTTTCCTTGGGGAACAATCCAAGTGGACAGAGCAGAGGAATCAGAGGTGAGGGCATGACTTCTGGACTGGCATTTGGATTCATGTCTGGGTGGTGGTAGGTGTGTACTGAGCGATCCAGGGGAGGGAAGGGCTGTGCCTTCAGTGTCATGTCTGCTGGAGCCGGCAAGCCAAGGGGATACGCAAAGTCCATATATATATAACTAATGTATATCTATTTTTGAGGAGACAGAGTGCGAGCAGGGGTGGGGCAGAGGGAGACACAGAATGTGAAGCAGGCCCCAGACTCTGAGCTGTCAGCACAGAGCCTGACATAGGGCTCAAAATCAAGAACCGTGAGATCATGATCCGAGCGGAAGTCAGACGTTTAACCGACTGAGCCACACAGGTGCCCCGGCCAAGACTTTCTTCATCCAACTTCCTGCTTTCGCTGTCCCTTCAAGGCAGGGCTTGGAGAGCCAGAGTGTGGTGTGTGCTGGGGACCTCGATGTTCTTGGGAGAAGGTATTGAGATGTTTGCTATGGAACTCTGACCCTGGCCAAGGCTGTCAGGGCTGGGGAGGAAAACAATTGGGAAAACTGGGGAGTCAGTGCCACCGTCTCCCCCATCTGTCAGGCTCCTACTTGGAGTGACAGGTGGGGGAGTGCCTTGGAGTGAGGCTGGGCATCTGGACACCCCCGCCCCCCATTAGCCTGCACGGTCCCTGAGGGAAAGGCTGGAGCTGCAGACGGGTCATCTTCCCTCACCCTTCCTGCTGCTTGTGAGTTTCACCCTGAGTTGGAAAGGGCTGCTGGGGTTTTCTGGTCCATCCCTCCCTCCCCTTCCATGCGGTGCAACTCCCTTTCCAGCCAGGGTGGGGGTGGCTCTCTGTTACAGATCCCTGAGCCTTGCTTCTCCCTGAGCCTTGCTTCGTCTGTCTCCCAGAGAGTTCAGCGGCGCCTGCTGGCTGCCTCCTGCCTCATGCCTCCTGCTGCACCGGTGGAGCTTCCGCCCCTTTGATCCATGAGTGGTGCAGACAGCAGACCGAGAGTGCTGGATTGTGGTGGGGCCTCCCCCCAGGAACCTTGCATTCAACCTGGCGGCCTCCGACTGACGTGCGCCACTCAGCCTCCTGTGGTCCCCCTGGACGTGCCTCCCGGAGTGGTCAAATCCTCTGAGCATCCGCAGCACGTCCAGGGCTCTGACGTGGACGTACACTCTGTGTGCTCCTGTACTCCGTGCAGCAGCTGCTGGCTATGCCCCCCTGGCTTCCAGGCCTCTGAGGACACCAGTGCAGCCCCTGCCCCCGTCCCATCTCTGATACAGGGCTGCTGTGGTCCGACAGGCCAGTGACCTGCCTGCTGAGGGCTGTGGGTCAGTGTCACCCATTTGGAGATCTCCGGTGCCCCCCGCAATGCCCTACCGCTTCCGGTGGCTTGTTATTAAATATGTTGGTAATGCAAGTTCGCAGTATATGGTCTGTTTCCAGCTCTGGACCCTCGGCGTTAGTGGTACCCAGCTCCTACCCTCCCTCCAATTTGAACAGTTTCTGACTGATGCTGAAAGAGCAGCCCCTCTGCCTGGGTCTCCCCTTGGTGGTGGCTATTCCACATCAACACCCTGATCCAAATCTAAGGGTGGGTAGGAAGGAGGTGCGTCAGGTGGGGACTCTCGTGCCAGCCCTCGACTGCCCCCCTGTGGCCAGTGTGGGCAAGAACACCACTTCCTTCAACCTCTGTATCTGGGTCTTAATCACACATGGTCCAGCCTTCACCTGAGGTGCTTTGAAATGAGAGTGGATTTTGTGAGCGTATGCACTGAAGTCTAGATTGTGAACTATCTTGAACTTCAGTCTCTTCAGCTATAAGATGGGGGCAGCAGTGTTATGGTGAGGGTCAAACAGCTGATGTGCTGGTCTATAGATGAAAAGTTCTCTACGCTGCAATTATCATGTGATGTTATTTCCCCCTCCCTGAACCTGACCATCCCCAGATAAGAGGTGTAGAACCACCTGCCCATTCCTGGGAACACTTCATTTATTCATCCTTTCCATGAGTATTTACTGAGTGACTACTCCATGCCAGGCCTGCTCTGGGACCTGGGGAGCAGGAGGTGAAGGACACAGAGCCCTTGAGGAGCCCACAGTCCAGTAGAGAGCACTGGTCACAAACCTGAAGTTAAAAGAGACAATAAGAAGTGCCCAGTGTCAACAGAGCCAACAGCAGGGAGTGACCTGCTCACAGAGAAGGCGGCATGCAGAATGGGCACTCACCGGGGGAAGAACATTCTGGACAGAGGTGCCAAGCAATGTGGGGCTGGGGGTGCCCCAGGAGCAGGCTCTGAAGGGAGATGAGACCAGGGGGTGGTGGCTGAAGGGGAGCAGAATTTACCCTGGGGGTGCTGAGGTACCCCACAGGATTTCTGGGTGCCAGGTGACCCGGTGAGCTCTGGAACTCAGGGGATTATGACGGAAGTTTGTGGGTGAGAGCGGGAGGCTGGACAGCGAGGAGACTGTGATCCAAACCCAGCAAAGTAATAGTGGTCTGGACGGGGGGGTGGGTGGGAAGAGCAAGGGCACAGATCCAAGCGGTATGTGGGGCTCAGGCTTCAGTCCCTAGATGGCTGTGAGGGACATGGGCCCTAGTTCCTGCTGTGAAGTCCTGGGCTGTTGGAGATGCCTGCCACCTACTGAGGTGACGTGTTATCAGTTGGTCTGCATTTTACTGGAAGCCCAAATGATACTTGGCTTGAGCAGAGGGAATTTATTGGCCCATATAACTGAAAGGCCCAGGGATAGCTCTCGCCTCAGGCCTGCTGTGGGTTCCTCCTCCTTCCGTGGCTTGGTCCACTTACTGCTGTGGGGGGTGGGGGATGGGGAGGGGTCTAGTGGTCACAGCCAGGACTTAGAATCACACGGCTGGATTGACCCCTGGCACCACATTCGCTAGCAGTGCGATCCGTGCACAGGGCTCAACCCCTCGGTGGCCAGTGTGGGGAGAGGCAGGGCCTCGCTAGTGCAGCTTTTGTTAGGACGGATGAGATTCACGCATGCAGGGTGCCTGGCATGGAGCAAATGCACAGTGTATGTGCCTGTTAGTAGCTTCAGCCTCTGTGTAAGGCAGGAGGTCGGCTTTCTTCTCGGGTTCAAATCTATCAGGCAAGAGGGAGATCATCTCCCAGGTCAGCCAGGCCAAACCCCTGGAGCAGCTGAGATGGGGCCTGTTTGACTCTGTGCTCACCCTGAGTCACTGTGCTGCAAGGATAGAACGTTCTAGGCCTCGGTCCCCTGCCTGTTCCAGTCCTGGGGTGAACAGATGCAGGGCGGCCATAAGCCAGCTGTGATGCTACAGAGGGGACGGGGGACGGGTCCAGTTCTGGTGGGTTCTGGACGCGATGTTGCTACAGACAGAAAGCGGAGCAGTGGGAGTAGGTCGGCTCTGGAGGGTGTTTGGGGCAAGGTGGGAGGAGTCTGGGCCGTCAGGGAGGCCGAGGGCAGGGCCAGATCCCAGGGGGGTGGGTGGGGAACCAGGGAAACCGCTATCCTGGCTGTCAGGGAAGGAAAGATTTTAGAGCTGAGTGGGCGGCCAGGAGCTTCTGTGTCCCGGCAGTTCTGGTGTCCTGGGGGCAGGGAGGGGTGGTGGGGGTGGGCCTGCGACCTTGCAGGGAGAGACAGGGGAGGGCTTCTCAGAAAAAAGGAGCCTCCCATTCAGAGGAAAGTGGGAACAGCAGACCCACTGTGGGGAGAAGGTTGGGTTTATTTTTTATAGCTACCGCGTGAGTGCTTGCCACACGCACATCGAACTCAGGCAAAATAACACAACACAGAACAAGCACTCACAAAGGAAGCTCCTCCTACCCCCTGGCTACTGAGCTGCCCCTCCAAAGCATAGCAGAGCCACTTGTGTGAGTCCTGCGTCCTACGGGGAGGCCTGAGGGTTCAGCCCCATGCCCCACACCGGTGAGTCCTCCGTCTGTGTGGACACAGTCATCATCTGAGACCCCTTCAGATGCCACCGATGCCGCCGTGCTTTCTGGTCACACCTTCTGTTCCCTCACCCTTCCTACGTCTTCCCTGTTGCTTGGGCCCATCCGGCCCCACACCCTGCCCCTCCAGCTTACAGTCCATGTGCGTTACCTCAATCCTGCTCTTGCCCATTTCCTGACTTCGCTCTTCCCACGGAGAAGGGCTCCCTGCTAGAGCCTCCACCCTGGATGGATGCAACTCTCTGTTCTTTGAACTTGTACCTGGCTGCTGAGTGAGTGCCTCCAAAGAACATCACAGCCCCCGCCCCTGGCAGACTGATGGCGCCAAGAATGGCCCCCCAGTCGACCCTCGCCATGCCTGGCCCCCCCTTGCTGCTGCTGGCTCTGTCTCCTGGCTGAATATGGCAAGACTTCCCCACTCTCAGACCCTGCCCTCTCTCTTCCCCTGTGCTCTGCTCGCGGATGTCCTCGCCTCCTGCTTCTCACGGAACAGAGGCGCCAGCAGACAACGCCGCCTCCGCTTTTGTCCCCAGATCTGCAGTGCGCCTCCTGGGAACCAGGGGCTTTTCTGTGGCCTGTCCCTCTGCTGAGGATGTGCTCCTGCCTCTGTGCCGCCCCCTCCCCCCCACTCCTCCCCAGCTCAGTGCCCTTTGCTACACACTGTCCTCCTCCACTCCTTTCCTTAATGCTCCTTCAATGGCTCCTTCTCCACTGGCTCTGGCTTCCAAACACACTCAGGTTTCTTCCAGCTTAAAATAGCCCTCCTCCGCACCCAGTGCTCCTCCAGTTACTACCCTGCGTCTCACTTCGTCTTGGTAGCCAGACTTTTCCAAAGAGCGGCCCACACTTGTGCCCACGTCCTCGCCTCCTGTGCGCCCTTCGCTCCTCTCCAGCCTGGCCTCTGTTGAGCTGGCAAGCTGGCAGCTGGATATCACCAAGCCCTGGGGGGAGGGGTGGTGGTTTGGCCGACCCGCCTCTGTGGTTCTTGTCTCAGCTGCCCACCTGGCCACTCAGGTGGCTGCTGCCCACCCCCCCCCCCTTCAACCAGCTTCAGCAGGAAGTGCCGGGAGAGAGGAGGCTGTGACTCTGGGCTCCCCCTGCATCCACTGCTCACTTGGTAATGGAAATCCTCTCTCTCATTGGTAAAATTGGATAATGCTAATACCCACTTAGGGAAGGTCCCAGACGATGTGGTCCAGAGTGTGGGAGCGCCAGCCTGGGTTGAACCTGGGCCCCCCATCTCCCAGCTGCTTTACCCCTGGGGGAGCTTGCTTTACTTCTGCCCCTCCGTCTCACCTCTCTGGCAGATGCCTGTGCCAGCCCCTCCCCCGGCCCCTCCCAGCCCTGCGTGCCCAGTTCCTCAGGACTCTGTCCTTGGCCTTCCTCGTCCCCTGCCCTCTTGCCTGGGGTGCTCCCTCCACCTTCTGGAGCTTAAATTGCCACCTCTTTGCCACGACTCTGAAATGTCAGCTGCCTTCGTTGTCACGGGGTGTGGCATTCTCCTGGGTGTCTCTGTTTCCAATTTTCTTTCTCCTTAAAAAGATAGGAGTCATATTAGATTAGGGGCCTTACCCCTAAGGCGTTACATTCTGAGGTATTAGGAGTTAGAACTCCAACATAGTTTTGGGTGGTGGGTTCACAGTTCAACCCGTAACAGATGGTAAAAAAGTGCTGTGGAGAAAACCGAAAGAGGGAGGGTGCACGTGCAGTGCGGGTAAAGATTGACATTTTAAGTTGGGGTCATCAGGGAACGTGTCACCGAGAAGGTGACATTTGACCAAAGACCCGAAGGGGAGAAGCTGTAGAGACGTTGGGGGGGTGCGAGGGAAGTGCTCTGGGCAGCAGACAGCAAGTGCCACCCCTCTGAGGAAGGAGCGTGCACGTGTGGTTGAGACACAGCAAGGTGGCTCAGGGGAGCGCAGGCAACCTGATGGGGGCGGTTGGGGGGCAGCTTCCTTACCCTGCACAGGGAGCATAAGAGACTGCAGCCGAAGCGGGTCTTCCATAGGGGGCCAGAAAGCACCCCTCGCTCATGTGTTTTCTTAGGAAGCGCTGAAGACTGCGCTCTGCCCAACCGGAAGAGTGACCCACAAATGATGGCCACAAAGCCACGTCACACTCTGGGGGAGAGGGAGGCCCGGCGCCACCTCCTGAGCTCTCAGGCCTGAGCACCTGCGCTCTTCTTGGCCAACAAACCACCGATGGCCGGGAGGGGACAGCGTCTTCTTGAATGCTCTTCCTGCCCCTGGCTGCCCCCTCCCCTGGCCCAGAACACACGGAGCTGCTCTGATGGCCCAAGATGTATTTAATTTAATTAATTAACTAATTAATGAAAGAGAGAGAGAGAGAGAGTGGGGGAGGGGCAGAGAGAGAGGGGGACAGAGGATCCAAAGCAGGCTCCAGGCTCTGTGCTGACAGCGAGCCCAGCCCAACGGGGGGCTTGAACTCATGAACCATGAGAGCCG